GCCTGAGTCATTAAGGTCTCGTTTTGACGTTTCCTCTAGCGTACGAGCATGGATTCCGGAGAGTTGGATGGGGTACTTTTAGCTGGAGACATACATACGGGTATTTACATCAACACGGCGTGAGTAGAAACTGTGATTTTGCTTAATTCGGTTTCGACATCCAGAGTAGGTACCCTTATTGTGGATTCAACACCTAAAGAACGGCCCCTAAATTGTAGAACCACCTGAGATACAGTGGCTAAGGGACGTCCAAACAGCTTTCCTGGGAGATGAGCTACCTCTGGAGCTGTTCTGTTAGGATTTATTGGACACCACCGTGTTTAGCATATTTCACTACCGGTCAATGGAACCTGCCGCAGGGTTCTGGCGTTCAGTCCTCATCAGATGTCCCTTGAATTTCACCTTTCTCAAATATTCTCAATACTTATCCTGAGTCCCCGAATCTGAAGAACCAGTTAGTGATCGTATCCTGCTCACTTAGGTCCAAAGGAAACCTAATCTATGAAATCACTTCAGGTACACGTAACGCAAAATATTCACAGTTAATTACTTGGAAAGCCGAAATACTTTAATTTCCATTTCTGTTATTCGGAAAAAATAATAAAATGCGAAGAACAGAATGTCGATATCTTCAGATGATCCTGCTCGTTGCTGATGGGTAGTAGCAATCTGGTTGGTAGTTAACCAGCAGGAAGTCGCCGTAATGGAAAGTAAGACCACCTTACTAATCTGGCTATTCAGTAAACTATTCCAATTCCATCGTCACTGATTATACCATTTGGTGGGTTGACCATCCGTACGTTGTGTAGCTGGGTTTGCCAATCAGCAGCTGTAGAGACCTTAACCTTACGAACCCCACTGTCGACTCACAACAGATTTCACAGTGTCTTTACCTAGGGCACAGAGCCACTCCCAAAAGAAATGCACCCATTAATACGACAACAAGGAAGAAGTTAATCGTTGTCTAACTGAGACCAACGCACCAATAAGTTGGTACCAAATGCGATTCTATAGATCCCTGAAGCTGCCTGTCATCGTTTGCAGCGTTTTCTTTGGCTGAATTATTCACGTCGCCCGAGTAGCAAGGTAACTCTACAGTCGCACACCTGGGTGATGCAACGTATTTAGGTAAATTCGCCTTTGTTGAGCCGAGAGGCAAATATTGCAAGAAGAAAAGGTGCAACGTCGACCTTCCTTGAGGCAAAAGGAACAAAATTTGAGTGATGAACGCAGTTGGGAGCCGAAGTCCACGTGAACTGGTTAAATATTAAAATAATAACGAGGTGTATAGAAAATACGAACGTATCTCAAAAAATGTGGAAACAGCGAGCCAGGGACCACTGAACAGGCATTAGTAAGGTAGAAGTATGTTTGAAGCCATATAACTTAAATTTGTGCTTGTTGTGTAGCAAATTTCACGAGGTTGACGTGACCACAAACAGCAAATGTAAAAAACAATCTATCACAGAACGACGCCATACTGATGACACCAGTTTATTCTACGGAGCTGCCTTAACCTTGGAGTGCTACAGGATAGAATTAACATCCATTAACTACCTATAATATGCTGAGCAGGGTAACGCCGAAGCGAATACGGTAAATTTTCAGAATGCTAAGGGAAAATGGTTCACGCAGTTTCGTGGATAAAGTCTACCTATGATCAAATTGTCTGGTATAGGCATAAAAAGCATAGCAAGATATTGAGATGATAACCTTGAGGCACGCGCACAAGTATGTGATTACAATACCACTTAGAGAGATGGCACACATGGGGCATCGCAAACAATGACGGGCTCATTTGACCATTACTATCAAAAGGATATCGCTCTCTACTGTGATGCTGATTTCGAGGACTTAAACTGGAAAGAGATTATTGGGAAACAATCGGGCCAACGCTCAAGTTTATGCTGTAGACCGTAGGAATACATAGAGAACTAAGGCCTTTGATGAGCACTCGAGATACACAGTTTACGGTTATTTCGTACCGCGATTTACTTCTGAGGAAGTGATAAGGTTAGGTTTTTAAGCGCCATAGTCCTTCTTGGGAAATTGCAATCTAAACCAGTTGACTTGTTACCCATAGAATCATGACAAACCATTGGGGAGGCCCTCCAGCCGCACTACACCTCATATTACGAACAGAATATTGACCTGGTGTCGGATGGCATAGTGCTGCAGACAAGCATCCGGAAATTCCATCAAGCTGAATAAACACTCCGAATTTCCGGATCCAAAAAAGAATAATAAATTATAATAGGGAACTCTGTTTGGAGTCATATAGTGCACGGTATACTTTGTAATCGACACTACTTTTCCGGTCTTGTTTCAAATTTCTCTGACTCGTGTAAGTGCCGTCCAAGTGAACCCTAAGTTAAGGATATGACTAAAAGTGGTTAAGACAATCGGCATTCTCGATTTCTGGTCATACTCCGGTCTTAATATGGTTAGTACGATATCACTGCTTATAAGACCATCAGGATCGAGGTCTCCCTGAAAGGACAATACGTGTAGCATTCACAAAACTGATTCATAACCAGTCCGGCAGATTCATGTATTGCAAGGATTCAGTAAGTCAAATACTGATAAACCAATCGCCCTTTATGCGATTTATAGGTAGAAAAACATCACTTGCATACCGTTTATGGACGACATTGACCCTCGCATGCGCGAAATCGCTGTACGATCGGGTAATGTCCTCATATGTATTTATATTAGTTATAATATCGGCCTAATGGCTAACCACCATATCCGTCCCCTACTTACTATCCGTGGAACCAGTCGAGCAAACGAGCGTCCAAGCTGAATACACAACGACAAGATGTCATCATTCTGACAAGGTTTGGAGTAACTTTGTGAGCAAAATGTACACACGCCTAGGCACGGTAATCATCCGGATCAGCTGATAAAGTAGGTCAACGCTGAAAACTTAATATGCCAGACAACGATGGCACACTCATTGACCAGTCATTTAGTAGAACGTGTATATTTAGATGGATATACCGTAGAAAGCGAGAAGATTGTATGAGTAACTCACGTTTACTGAATCTAACGAAAGAATGAACTCCCTGAACGCATAGCAAACAACCAAAACAGCTGGGCTGAGCACTTGTCTAGCATTGCCCTTACGAGATCTCAGGAAACCTGCTCAATATATGTTGGTTCGCTCTGCAACAAACTCGAACGTCCCGTTTCGAGAGCTACTTACGTTTCCGATCTAGTCGAATACGACGCTACACATTAGGCTGCTTTCACGAAGAATGTAGCCAAACAGTTTAAGTACTGCAAGGTTAGACGAATCACCCAGATTCTTGCAAATTCCTATCTTGTCCTGTGAGTGGCTTATCATTTTCACCTCTGCTGATGCATCTGTATGAAGCAAAATGAATGGACCAACTTGTTAAACTATGTCGGAGGCTAGTGTACTTATGGAGAACTTCAGGTGAGTGCTAGAGCAACAGATGAAGAGGAGATTCAGTATGAAAGATGTCTTCTGGTCCTAAAGCGGCAGTTTGTTGCTGATCTAAACAAAATGGTGCACATTCACTTGAGTCCCGTTTACTGTGGGGACGAGAAACAGTGAATTCCATGACCTTCCTAAACGAAGGAGGATACCAGTGGCACAGCTGAAGGACAGTCAGAAATAACCGGTCAAACGTGACCCTATGGAGGGAACCAATTGAAAAAGTAGACCTCAAGGAACCAAACAAAGGTGTTCATTTATGGAACAGTGGTCTCTCAAAACTATAAACGGCTGACTATGAAAAAAAGGCTTTTCATTGTTGGCCGTTTATGTGACATGATGATTGCAGGATTGTATGCACTACAATGAATAAATGAAGGTTCATTCGGAGTTCTTTCAGGGCAAACGGCAGCGGTTGAATACAAAGCAGATCAGCTAACTGTAGATGAATGGCAGTTTAAAACCTCTAACCAGCACGTCACAGATTAATATTTTCCTGCTAACGACGCCAAAAGAGAATGGAACGGAGGTGTTGCCAGGCATTTCAGCATGAGCTGAACGTGCTTCTGGTTCTCAAAATACAGCACTTAAGTGGCTTCACCCAGTTAGCGGAGGATGGCCCTAGCTATTAAACCGATTGGCGCGGGTTGTTTGAGCTTGACAGTACTGAAACGCTCCACTACACCAGAAGAAGACACGCAATTGGGTATTTTGAGAAGGACTAGCATCTGTTGCCTGAGACGAATCAATCGAACCGCAAGCTACCATCAGTTAATATTCCCATAGCAAGTTTATTAAACAAAAGCAGTCCGGTGATCATATCCATCACTTTGACAGTACCTAGAAAATCATCAGGTATATGAACACTAACCTATGTTGATTACCACAATCAAATCTGTCATAATTAGGTAGATGCGGCATTTTTCATTCTTTTGAATGACAGTTCTGAAAGTACCAAGGATACGTTTGACAGAAACTCGGGGACCAGGAGTACCTGATGAGCTCCAAGAAGGGCGAAATCGGTCGTGGACTGTCTAGTTTTTAGCAACCGACTGGTTTCCTTCAAAACAATAAGGATCACTTTCCGACCAGGAGGTGGTGCAGGGTTGTAGCCAAGAATTTCACCACATCCCAGTTTTTCGTTATGATACTCCATCGTGTTAGGACCAAACAGACTACACAGAAGTATGGAGTGTTAGGAACGTTCTGGTACATTGGTAGCCCGGGTGCGTTACTGGTTGATCTTTAGCCCAATGTGGCAATTCGCCAATGAGCAACTGATGACGAAGCCTTTGCAGGTGTGCGTTGTTGCTTGAAAGCATGAACGGTGCTAGATCTAATAAGGGACCGAGCTGTGTTAGGTGTCAAACTAACCGCAAAATAGGTCGCAGCGTACGTTCAGTGCACCAATCCATTTGCTCTAGCCCTCATATAGAGACACTCCATAAGTCTATCGCTATTAAAATCAAGATTATTCACCAGCGCATCTATTGAAAAACCACAGTGAATATCAAAGGCAGAAAATCCGAACACAACTTACCGCATCAATGACAGAAGATCGAAGAAGCTTAGGAACTTCCATTATTTGACCCAATATGCCAGTCAGCGAAACAAGAATAATCGAGGATAGGACACACTATAAAATGCGTCCACAGGTTCATGGAAGAAAAAACACACAGAAGACAAGAAACTAACATGAATTTAGATGCATGAAACAATTATGTAACGAATGAGTTAATAAACCAGGTGATAAATCAGAAAACAGAGGGAGTCACTGTGACTGAAGGAGATTATAGGCCTCGGTCGAATTGGGTTTCTGTACACCACAATCAATGACTACTAGCGCCCACAATTAAAGGTGAACACCTCCAAAGGTAAATCAGGGTTTTCTACCGTTAGTAGTTTTATTAGGTGTTTTTCAGCTTGATTTCTAGATTGTAACAATTCCACTTTTCAGGAGCATATTGGAGGACACGTTCACTGTACATCCCACTTAAAGTTGAGTGCAAACCCAACAAAAGTGAAATGTTGGAACCGGAGTCGGTCCTTTGACAGACAAGTTGCCACAGTTGTAGGGCGCCATAAAAAATACTTCTGTTTGAGAACAAGCTAGCTAAGTGCTCAACTGTATACAACAAAATGCAGTTCGGTGAAACCATTCCTTTTTAGGTGCTAAACATGGGATACCGACCGAAGTCACATTAGGGAAAACACTTTTCTCTTCATACCTCTCCAAGCCAAAAAAACACATTTGGAGGAAATGATTCTTGACTGGTAGTAGTAATTTTGTAATCTGTAATCCTCAATAAGCAATGTGATAAATGCGTTGATTCTTGCTACTACTGCTGTTGAGAGGATGAAGGCCTTCGCTATGGAGTTATTTACTAGAAAATGCCAACTGACCATTGGACAGGGAAGCAAAACTCTAATTTGCATCTTATTTACAAAAACTGGACATCCATCTTCTCCTGAACGCGTCTTCTTGAACTTTTCTGGATATTCATTGACTCCAATCACTTATTGCTCAAATCCAAGCAAATGTTACAAAGCGACTCCACAAATTCCGCAACAGATCTCCCCTTTTCAAGAGACGCAAAACTACTCGCATGCCCCCCATCAGTAGTATCACCGTTACACTATGAGCATAACGGGTGGCCTCTGGGATTTACAAGGGCGGTAACTAGTTATTACTGAAGTGAAACACTGGCTTGTATCAGTGAACGTTCAGATTCCGGTCACGAGGTCCTTTAAATCGGAAAAGTGAGAGTTGGATGATTCGCGAAGAGGGAGCACCACAAGCTCAGGAAAATGTCATAATCAAACCATACAACACGCATTTTACTGAACACTCAGTATTGGCAGTCACTGAGCTTATGGTCTTTTAGTGTTTGTTAACAGAAAATCTCAGAACCCAGTGTCGGATAAATTTCGTCGAAATGCGCTGTGGAAACATTCTAGCAGTCGTGTAATATGTAATGTGATACGTTTGTAATATTCAGTAAGTTTTCATCATTCATCAGCCGTGGAACTGTAAGGATGTTTGATTCTGAGATTTGTGACATTAGGGTTGTTTCGATAAGTGACACCACAAATCACAGTCATGCTGAATAAAAGCGAGGAAGAACTCGGACCCAAAAAAGCACGCCGTCTGACTCTGTTGCTTTGGCAACAAACTACATGAAGTTACGTCCCATTGTCAAGCATGTCCGGTGTCAGTTACTGTGTGTCTGTCATCCACGTGACCTGGGTGAGGCCATTAGACAGTTAGCACAACATGAGAGCAATAAGACTACAAACGCCAGGTGGGAGGCGGTTCGGTATAGCCAATTTTTGAAGGCTATGCCATTAAAACGGTAAATAACATCCTCAAAAGGTTGCATACCTAGTAAATCAGATGACTGACACGAGTCGTCCGAATTTTACAGCAGTTTGAGAGTATAGTCTCGCTCGATCGACTATTACGACCTTCTAGTTTTAACAAAATGCTCTTCCAAGACCCTTAGCAAGTAAGCATAACGGGTGGCCTCTGGGATTTACAAGGGCGGTAACTAGTTATTACTGAAGTGAAACACTGGCTTGTATCAGTGAACGTTCAGATTCCGGTCACGAGGTCCTTTAAATCGGAAAAGTGAGAGTTGGATGATTCGCGAAGAGGGAGCACCACAAGCTCAGGAAAATGTCATAATCAAACCATACAACACGCATTTTACTGAACACTCAGTATTGGCAGTCACTGAGCTTATGGTCTTTTAGTGTTTGTTAACAGAAAATCTCAGAACCCAGTGTCGGATAAATTTCGTCGAAATGCGCTGTGGAAACATTCTAGCAGTCGTGTAATATGTAATGTGATACGTTTGTAATATTCAGTAAGTTTTCATCATTCATCAGCCGTGGAACTGTAAGGATGTTTGATTCTGAGATTTGTGACATTAGGGTTGTTTCGATAAGTGACACCACAAATCACAGTCATGCTGAATAAAAGCGAGGAAGAACTCGGACCCAAAAAAGCACGCCGTCTGACTCTGTTGCTTTGGCAACAAACTACATGAAGTTACGTCCCATTGTCAAGCATGTCCGGTGTCAGTTACTGTGTGTCTGTCATCCACGTGACCTGGGTGAGGCCATTAGACAGTTAGCACAACATGAGAGCAATAAGACTACAAACGCCAGGTGGGAGGCGGTTCGGTATAGCCAATTTTTGAAGGCTATGCCATTAAAACGGTAAATAACATCCTCAAAAGGTTGCATACCTAGTAAATCAGATGACTGACACGAGTCGTCCGAATTTTACAGCAGTTTGAGAGTATAGTCTCGCTCGATCGACTATTACGACCTTCTAGTTTTAACAAAATGCTCTTCCAAGACCCTTAGCAAGTAAGAGGGATCCGTTAGCTCGTAATGTACAAAAGTGATTTTCGCCTATTCGTAATGCACTACCCATAAGGTTGCTGAAAATTCTTCGAAAGCCCACGACCGGGGCTCAACAGGTAGGCACACTCCCCGAGTTTCCGTCAACCTTATGTTCTAGTTGAAACCAAATTGCACGCAATTAGCGAAACATACTCATTTGCAAACAAGTTTGGTTTTGCGAGGGACTCACCTGGAATCTGCCTTTCGCCTACTTTGAAGTGCTCCAACGCTATCAGGTAGGTTGTGCCGAACGTGTAAGTGTCCAGGCAGCAGGCGAGGCAAAATAACTGCATTTATTCTATCGATATCTGTGAAGTCTTGTTACTGGCGGTAAGCAAAAACAAGTCATGTCAAGGCAAGTCTCACTAGATACGACACTACCTTTAACTTAATCCGATTTTCAAAAAGCTTATTAAGTGTCACACCATATTGTGCAGTTGACGGGGACACGTGAAGGCATGTGTTTCGAACAACTTGTCAAAAGGGAAGCAACGAGTGGTCGAACGGTTAAGTGTTCAATCACTGGCTGGAAGGCCGCTGGTTCGAAACACTGAGTTTCGTGAGATACGCACTGCTGATGATTCCCGATGAGGATGAAACAGCTACACAGTTCCTCGGCTTTACAGTTTAGGTTGGCTTCACTGACGGCAGGAAATCTCAACTGAAAACGACTAGTGGTCTGCCAAAACAGGTGAAACCTGATTCTCGTTCCCTAGTGTAGTCGAACATCACTGAAAGAAGCTATTGAGTGGCACTTCTTCGGCGGAGGCTGCATGAGCATCAAGCAAGTTAGACCCCCCATCCTGGAAACCCTTCTGTGACGACGGTTGAAAACAAGCGTCTGAAATGTCCAAGTGAGAAATAAAACCGTCCCAAACGTACTCATTCGGATAAACTGTACGTTTGCAAGTGAAACAGTGAACTAGTTATGTGAATACTACTCAATGATATGGTATTTTTGCAACTGAGGCTTTAGCTGAAGTGAATTAGTTGAAGTTTAATCGCAGTCTTTGCAGGAATATGGCGAAATACCTATACACAACCACCACTACAGGATGCTCTTCGGGAAATCACTTCTATTCGGGGTAGTTCACAGGGGAATCCAAAATATTCGATCAAAACACGTTCACAGAAGACACCTGATGAATAACTAGACTCATAAGAAAGACCAAAAACAGTAGTTTTTTTCCAGTTACAAAAGAAATCTAGAGAACAAAAATATAAGGGGAAGCAAGATGGGACCTGACGACAAGGGAGAACACACCGAATAAGATGATATACTTACCATCGGAACAGATTCTAGTGACGGTCCGATAACTGTCAAAACTAGTACAAGAACTGCACAGGAGATCAGAGAAGCGACCTGCAAATGGAGGAATGAAACATAGGAATACTACGAGTGCCTAAACTAAGCGATATCTGGACTGATATTAGAATGCACGAGAGCGCCTACTTGAAAATGGCTAAATACGTTCTTATCCGAACGCACAAAAGTGAACGTTAACCGGAAAACAGTTAGTATCCTGAGCCAGCAAGGACCTCCATCACATAATGAATGGAAATACGCTCTAGAGACGAGGTAATACCATAACACGCATGAATTTCTTCGTAAGACATGTAGGATCAACCTTCATAAAGATAGCAAGGATAATAATGGCATTCACTTTTAACGGCCCTCCTTTCGATTTGGCGTAGCTAGGAAGATATTCGTGCAGTCACTTTTTTGTCTGACTGAGCGTTTGGAAGTGTAGGCACCCCCAGAATGCTTGGGACAGGCCAACACCAGGTCGCTCCCTCACCTACTATTTTCTCCTCTTTTCATATAAGCCTTTACTCATAACAAAACGCACTTTGCTGTAGTAAAGCATCAGCGTCAAAACTGTCTATCTGCCTGTCTTCGATGATGTTCCATAAAGTAGCAGACAACCACATTCCTCCAATACGCACCAAAGACCTGACCATGTTGAACTGGTCGAGCGATTTTCGAAAAATAAAGTCTCTTGTGGGATTCCTCCAATACGCACCAAAGATCTGACCATGTTGAACTGGTCGAGCGATTTTCGAAAAATAAAGTCTCTTGTGGGAGATGTGGAGGCCCCAACTCCTGCAGAACCTTTTGTTTCCAGCCAAAAGTTAAGAGGTTTAGCAAGATCCGAGCCAAAAGTCGCCAGGAAGCCCCAAGGTCAAACTTCCTTGCAAGTTATTGGATTCATCAACTACGAGTAGAGGCATGCGTAGAAAGTACACCTACCACCGAATGAGTACTTGCTTTTACAGTTCCTGGAGCACCGCCAGACCGTGAGTCCGCAACACCATCATCAGAAATACCAGAATGGAAATAAGGCGACTGAGTAACTTGTCTCCCTTCCAAGTTGTTTACTTTGTCTATAACAGGAACTGAATTGTTCGCCGAGAACTTGGAGTTGTCTTGGTATACCTTGTGATAAATGCCTCCGTAGCTCATGAATGATAGGTAAGATAATTGCTAAATGCAGCAATTGACCATAAGAATGTGAAATGAGGCACGTTAAAATGCCAAAAAGCCAGCAAACCCAACCAGTTCAACCTAACTGTATATGCAAAACGTTATACAAACCCTACGAAAAGTTTTCCGCAGCAGCGTGTAAGATGTCGCCTGTGGACATACACACATTCTAGCCATGCCCAGCACAAGAAATACACAACCGCGTCAAGAATCCTTCCTTTGGAGTTACGAATGATGCCATGAAAGATGATTCCTAAGAGTTACAATATTGCTGCTTCGATGTTGCTCAGTTGCCCAACGTGAAGTCGACTCACACATCAAGTGGTAGAGTTCAACACTGAACTAAGTTGTTGCCCGGAGGATGATGACGACAGGCAAGCATATAACAACCCACTGGAGCCATCCACATGAGATAAACACGAAAGTTGTAAATGGGGTAAGCTCCGTGGAACCCGATCAGTGCATTAAAGTTCATCCGAACTTGTAGTCAGTAATCCCCATTTACACACACATGCTAACTGTATAACGACTATCTCCATGCACGCAAGAATGAGCATCAGATGCGGTAAAGTGCAAATGAAGAACTCAAATTACCCAAACACTATACAGCCAATATCAACCCCGATTTGAAGGTACCACAAACAACCCGGTTATGAATATTGACCACGTTACCTGAGACTTCATACCCGCGCAGTAGGACACACTGGTCCGAGCAAGCGCCCCAGACGCTGCGTGACATTGGAAAAAGGAACCAACGATGTTGGCCAAGCCAAGCGCGTTCATTTCCTGAGGAAAAATTCCGAGAAAAACTGAACTGTAAATTTAGTATCTGTGCACGTTAGTGCAGTGGGGCGGGTAGACGTGGTGATTCGAAAGAGAAATTCATAACTAATAGTTAAAATGCAACGTGAGAAGATCAACATGTAAAGGTAAATTTACTAAACAAGTACGTCAATATGAAGAAACGGCATGCACTGAAAAGTGTACCCGCGCTTGACTTCTATCAAAATGGCAGGAAGACAGTTGGTGGGTTGTTATTACTTCACTTATTTTCATCAGACATCCAGTTAAACACAGATTTACATTCATGATGAGCTGAAGAGATATTCCTAAATCACACCCTCAAACGAAACGGATATCAGCAACGATTTAAGCAAGTACACACGGAAATTTACCATACCCAATGGCTACCGTAGAAAAATAAGAATTATTATCTACGGTTTTTATTCACACGATACTATCTTTCGATAATGTGCCCAAATATCGATAGCTTGGGTGCGTTTAATGGTTGTTACTCAGGACGCCGATCTTACCAATTAACTTGTAAACGTCTCTTCCCCAAAAGGCGAGGAGCCGTCAATGCGCAGTTGCATGGGTAATTACTCTTTACCTGCTTGCGTTTATATGACGCCGGTACTCAGGATGGTCCGTACCAGGAAACGCTCCAACCTGAGTACAACGCTGTCTGGCGCTCGGCATAGACTAATTCAGTCCTCAATGACTCCATACATTTACCCCATGTCAATCTTGATTCCCGGCGTTCGCTAACAAAGCAAGTCCAGGAAGCTGATGTATAGGCATCTCTAACACAAGCAGTTAGTGCCGCATGAAGCGTAACAGCACTGGTGTCAAAGATCCAAGTATATATCATCTCTATTGGGTGCAGTCGTGTGTGTGTGTAATCAATCGGTACGAAGCGAAGGCCATCCTGTTGTAGATCGATTACGTCATACTAAAGGGGAGGCGGGTCAATTGTCTAATATATTGGTTTTCATATACCAGGAAATCAGTTTGTAACATCGCATTATTGATGGATTTTTTGGTGGTAGGAAATACTGTAGATGATCCAAAGGAAGGTAAAAAACAAGTGGTAGAGAGCAGCAGATAGAAAAGATGTCACATTAGCTTTGTTCGAATTAATGAACCTGTTCAATAAATAGGCATTTAGAGTGCAGGCAATGTCTGACGTTCGTTTTCCATTGAGAGGAAATCACATTTCAAATCGATTGAACTGTGGAAGGTATGCTTTGAAATACACCGAAAAATTATAAGTTGAATGCATTATCGCATTAGACTACAAACTCACTTAACAGGGAATCTCAGAATGGGCGGGAATCTAATTTGACTGGATCCTACAGATGTCGCATATAAGACACACCACCGTATTGAAAGTTTATCCCCACACAGCGCCAAAAAATAATTTCATCGCCACCACCCAGGCAAGATATCCCTGACTTCTCAACTGCCCAAAGCTAATCCATTGCACCATGCAACTGTAAACGACTACCCATTCGTTATTCGGAAGAACACCACGTGGAACTTACAGGATCCCAGAAGTTTCAAATAGAAAGAATCCAAGTTATTGTGGGATTCGCATTTTGTAGCTTAGACGGAACAGTGAAAATGTATTGTCAGAGACGACCGGTCCTAAGAAACTCACCAGGGTATACTTTACATCATAAACAGCTTTGGATGCATACAATTTGGCCAGGGACACCGTAGTTGCAAGCGCAACGAAAGACACAATGATTGAGTCCACCGCTATTGATGGGACCAGGTTGAGATCTGGAAGAACGGGTTTCGGTAGACTGAAATAGAGTGAAGATATGTGAAATTGAAAACGCAAAACGACTTAGCATCATCTTTACCTGTGAAGAATCTCCTGAATAGCAGTTGGAGACTGTACATTCAAGCAAAATTATGAACAGTCAAGAAAAATAATCCGCGCAACGCATGAACCTTTCGAGTTGTCAGTCGAATAGTCAGTCAACGCGTGACCACGCAATCTCATCATCATCATCATCACCATCATCATCATTGTCAGCTGTATTAACCGCGTACTCGTCGTACAGTGGTTGTAGCTGCCGCGGTTTCGTTTCACCGATGAGTGGGGGGATGGCATTATATCCTGTCTAGTTACCTGTTAATCACACTGCTGATCAGCCATTCGTAGTCCGGATGCTGTGGGTTCTAATCTTTCTGAAGATTCTGGGGGTGAGTTCCCATAAGGAAAAAAACAGATGTAACATTGATGTTGGATTTTCCGCATAGGTGGAATTCAGCTACAGAATGAAATGTAAGTTGAAGTTTCCAAATCTCCTCATGTTGTCAACAGGGAAATTTCTGTCCGTTCCAAACATTCAACAACTGAATTCTGTTTTGATTGAAAATCATTCTTGGAAAGGTGAACATGTTGAATCACCTTCTGCCCTAAAAATGTCCGGGTGTAACAGTTATGGTAGAATGGAAGGATCAGAGCGAGAAACATCTAAGTTGGCGAAAGATGTCAGCAACAAACATACATGTTCCTACAAATACATTCATTTGCACAGAAGACTCCGCTGAATCTCTCCTTTATCATATTCTTCAACCGAATGTGCTGCGCAAAAGCCGCCGCATGTTTCAGTTCATACGATATTGGAAGTATCGCAGAATATTTACATATAGGAAACCACTGACGAGGTTGATAAAAACTCAGGGACTGTGCTTACATGATGAACCCCAAGAAGGTGAAAACGGTCGTGGTCTGTCAGAGTTTCCAGCAACCCCGCGAAAATAGACGTTCCTACGCGAGGGATGCAAATGACTTGTTGTCCAACGGTTTAACCAATCAGCCCGTATCCATGTTCGCTATGCCGAGCGACGAATCACCTATCGGGGCTTCCCACTAAGTAATGCTTGTCAAGTGCTGGAGCCCAAATCTCGGCACAGGGACGAGACTCAGGTCAAGTATTTTCTTTTAGGCAGAGTAACCACGCTAGAACACTATGAACTGTTGAAAAGAAAACGATTTGTGTATACAAAAGATGGGTGTATTTCCGTTAGAAGTACCGTACGAAGGGTGGTCGAGGCTCACTAACAACCCATTGTTGGTTTCACTCTATTTGGGATTGATTACATAACTAGGGGTAACCGAATTTCAATTAACACCTTTTCTTGTCTGGATGCCAAAGTTCAGATATGTTGAATAAATCACGACAGCAACTAATTTTGATAAATGAGTGGGTTTTCGAAATATGTACAATTTCGGAATCACGTCTAAACTATGAGCACCAGACAGAACAAAATTACTGGTGAGTTGTTGGCCATTTTCAGTCAATGCATCCACTGTAGGAATGAAAAACAATCCACCTTGAGGGTCGAGCCAAATGGATTGCCAATCGGTCGTTGAGGATCTCCATGCACAACAGATACATTCAACATGAGGTTGGCATCATCTCGCTGCGTGAGGTG